GCAATGGTCGAGCTCTGCCGCACAGTGGATCGAGTTAGAGTCCCTTTATACTGAGAGTCAAGACAATGTGAATCCATTTCTGATTGGTTCCCGTATTTTAGGCCTTCACAGTGTCACAAATGGGAATAAAGATTACATTTTCGCCGATTGCAAAGATTATAATCTGGAATGAACCAGGGAATTACGGGTTCGGCGTTGAACAAACGGAATGAGAGAAGGAATGGAGAAAGGAATTTAAGATTGGGCCGATCAAAGATTACAAAAAACGTCCAATTTGTGTAATCTTTATTCCCGCTTGTGACTCCATGAGGGGGCGTTGTCTTGACTCTCAGTATAAAGGGACTCTAAGTGGATTGAGTCAACATGAGAGGTCGGACAAAATTTAGAAAATTTAAACGCTTATAGCTCCGTTTATACAAAAAGTTGAGGTACTTGAAGTTGTTTCATCGGTTTCCCTGGAAAATATCCTCCTGAATGCACCCCTTGACATTTAAAATGTGACGAAATAATCATCAAAATATGCAGTTTTGGTCAAAAATTTCATGTCCAACCTCCCCAATAATAATTGACTTGGTCCACCGTGTGCCGGTGCGGTAGGGGTCACTCGAGGTGTGAATGATCGATTATCTATATTTCCCCATTTGAAGCTGTGGTAAAGAATCGATTATTAAGTTATTCGTTGCGAACACCCTGTTTATCAATCATATTCCACAGGCTGAAAAGGCAGGTCAATCGATATATCTCAAAGCACGCCGTGTCTTTGGTTGCATAACGTTTCAATTCATACCTTTTGAAGAGGCTTACTTTAAGATGACCCAGAGAAAAGTTTTTCAAGAGTCCACAATAAATAAGTTCACGCATTTTTCGACTGTGGTGGAACAGTATCGTGGGGTGCTTTACTACACATCGAATCATCAGCCTTTTAAAACTATGGAACAGGATCGATAAACAGGGTGTTCGCACCGAACCACTCATTAATAGAATCTTTACCATAGCTTCAAATGGGAAAGTATCGACTATTATCGATCATTTACGCCTCGCCACAGCGACGGAAGATCGTCTGACGTCAGCTAAGCATTAAAAGTGAACGCAATAATTATGACGTCGACAGTCTAGAAAAGCGTAAACTTATTTGGCATGGAATCTACTAAATTAAGAGCCGTCGAATCATTGCCACGACATCATCATGCTCGTTGTACGCGCGCAACTATGTTGAGAGGAGGTGTTTACAACGAGGAACAAATGACTCGCGATGATAAAAGCGGATGGTGAAAAAATACCCGGTAGCTCGTTGCGGATCAAAAACAAGCGTGTATCATTTTTATGAGACTAATGATTCTGTAAACAGTCCAGTCCAGATAAGTGTCCGTTAGTGTGTCTTACCGAATCACGCCGGCACCGCGTGCTCTGTAACTCAGCGTCTGAAAATTTCCGCGAGGTGCGGTACAGTTGCATCCGCGCTGTCAAATCTCCCAATTCCATTTCTGAAATGACCGTATTTCCGTCAAACGGAACTACGTGCATTCAGACATAAGCCCTGAGACTCATACGGATATATGCATTACAGGGCTTACGTCATAATGCACATAGTTCCGTTTGACAGAAATACGTCCTTTGAGGGATACACCGAGTGATCAAGCATAGCGGTGGAGATGTTAGGAGTCGATTCGGATCGTCAGTAGCGGAGGTAGTTTTGAAAAAAAATTCAAATTTTATTTCAAGCCTTCATTTTATTCGAGCCCAAGAATCAAGTTCCAAATGCCGCGACACTCTTACACGGTCGGGAACAATAAAATTGTATGCGGAAATTTTCAGGAATGGATGAGAATAATTCCAGGATACGATTGTAGGATTCCTTCATTCTACCGAACTTCGTCCTGCGTGATCCCGTATCCGAAAAGGGCCAGTCCGTCGTTTCGCAATTTTGTGAATTTTCTTGTTTATAAAGTTTTCCAAAATTACCCCTATTTCGATCATTTTTTAAAAAAACAATTTTAAATGAGAGTGATTCCAAGATATTATCGTAGAATTCATATCCTCCATCTCGCCCATTTTCGTCAGTGGCGAGGTGAGAATAATCGATTATCGATATAGCTTCAATTGAATAAGCTATGGGAAAGAATCGATTGTCAAGGTGTTCGCTGCGAACACCCTGTTTATCGATCCTTTTCCATAGGTTTAAATTTGGCGGATCAATCGATATATCGCCAAGCACGGCATGGCAGCGAGGAGCCGGACGTAGCCGTATCTGCGCCTAAAAATGGAGCACGCGCCGTGATCTCCGTTCAAAGTTGAGTCGCTGTTCTGCTGTACTGAGGAAGAACGCCGTATGAAAATTCGAGAGTTGCCAAATTTCCTCCTTTAAAATGTTTATTTTTGAGAAAATATATGAATATTCTTCCTTTAAATTTGCTGCAACTTTAGGAGGAATTTCGAACAACATTTTCTGAAAAATTTGAAGGCAAATATTCATATTTTCACCTGGAAAATCGTGTTTAATCATTCGAAATTGGGCAACGCTTGAAGGTTCATACGGCGTTTTTCCGTAGCACAGCAGTATTGGTATGCCCGGCCGGTGTCGTAACCGCCGCTAGATTAACGAAAAACGCACCGTAAGCAGAGCGTCCGCGCACACTCGCGCAGGCGTCAGCTCGAGCGTTAACTCTGCGCGTTAACAGCGTAACTCCGCGCCGATCCAGCTGGTTTCCATCCGATCCGACCGCGGGCCTGGTGCGAGGTTGTCAGGTTGTCCGATTGAATGTGAATTTTTTACATGAGTTTATCTGGGGCTTTGCGCTGATTTTGTAGCACCATCTGGCAGCAATGGTCTGGTGACATAACCGCCCGCCATCGAATTCCGATTGTTTATTTCCGCCATTTTTGGCGTGCCGAGCAGTTGACGAATCGCCGTTTCCAGGTAATCGGCAAAAGTTCGGCCGATTCTTTTTTGCCGAGCTCGGGGTTTTGAGTTTCCGAGTATGGAGCTGGTCGTCACCCAGAAAGAGAGGGAATTTCTCGTCGAAGAGAAGGGAGATTTGTTTTTAATAGGGTACGATTCTTTTGATATTAAATAAAATGGTAAATAAAAATTGAATTTTACATTTTAGAAATCAATCTTTACCTCTAATGAATGGGTCCGTCAAATGCACACTACTATCGATGCAGTGCCTTGTGAGTGAGCATTGGGGGAAATCTCAGTAATCAGAATCATAACTTCAAATTTTGTTCAATTTAACGAATATTTTCATGTACATGGAGAATGATCCAACAACCAATACCTACCTAAGCATTTTGTTTTTTACATTTACTTTTAAAACATGTATTTACTCCAGGTGTAAAATGAGTGAACTTTCTCCAAGCATCTGGATTTTTCATAACGTATTACACCCATGCAACCATGCTGATCAAATTTGTCACTAAACAAGAGATGGGAAACCAATAAACGAATACGCTCTCTGTATAGAACCATGCTTTGAATGATGATATTTTGTGAGGGAATCTCTTTGATTGACCATGAAATGGACTGTTAACACACTTCTGATCAAAGCTTTAAAACTTCAAGCATTTTGTTTCTTAAATTCAGTTTTAAAAACATCTGTTTACTCCAAGTGAAAAATCAGGGAACTGTCTCCAAGCATCTGGATTTTTCATAACGTATCACACCCCTGCAACTATGCTGATCATTTTTCATTAAACAAGAGATGGGAAACTAATAAACGAATATGCTCTCTGTAGAACCATGCTTTAAATGATGATATTTTGTGAGGGAATCTCTTTGATTGACCATGAAATGGACTGTTAACACACTTCTGATCGAGGCATTATAACTTATTTTTTGCAATTTACTCCCCTCCTCCCATCCAATTTGTTCTGGCATATGAACGATGACCCTCTAGAGATACATATTACATTTTGATGTACATTCTATGATAACGTTCTAGCTGACTTCTTTTGATCAATACTGATATCAGATAGATACATTAACTCTGAAGCGAACACTGTTCCAATTTTTTTTAGGTGAATGATTTCCCTTCGTAAACCCCCATCACGAATATTACATTCAATTTGATGCACGTCTCATGATGATCTAGTGTGGGAATCTCTTTGATAAATACTGATATCAAACTGATACACACCTCTGATGCAATGCAAATACTGCTCTGATTTCCAAATTTTACCGAACCTGATTCTTAAATTTAATTTGATGCACGTTTCATGATGATCTAGTGTGGGAATCTCTTTGATAAACACTGATATCAAACTGATATACACCTCTGATGTAATGCAAATACTGCTCTGATTTCCAAATTTTACCGAACCTGCTTTCTTAAGTCAGTGGAACGGTGGTAGCCCACACAGGAAAAATTTTGCAATTCTAGAATAGAGTAACGCCTGTACTTCTGTTCCTTTTTTTTCCTACTTCAAACAGCCTACAAGGGCTAATCCTGCGATTTTTAGTGCCGTTCCCCCTTCGTCCCTACTGAATAACCAGTCCCAGGGAACCATTGTTTGAGAGCATCAAACTCGGGTCGCCTGCCCGGGAATCGAACCCGGGATCTCCCGATCATAGTGCTAGCGCTACAACCACTACACCATACTGCCGTGATAAGGAAGAACGTCGTATGAACATTCGAGAGTTGCCAAATTTTCTTCGACAAAATGTTCATTTTTGAGGAGAGTTATGACAACTTTGCTTTGAAAGTTTCAGGAGTTTTAGGTGACATTATGAACAAAATTATCTGAATTCTTGGGAGAAAAATATCCATAAATTTACCGGGAAATTCGTCTTTTATCAAAGGAAATTTGGCAACGCCTGAAGGTTCACGCGGCGTTTTTCCTTAGCACGGGAGGGAGGCCGACAAGTCACTAGAGCCTTTGGGAAACGACAAACTGTTGTTTCATTTTATGGTGCAGATGTTTTGCAATATATTTTTTTTTCAGTTATATGTTTTTTTAAGTTGTATATCTGATGGTAGCGTGGTTTGTTTTCTGTGTTGCAGGAGTCGCGGGATGATGATTGAAAAGTAGCGATGGGAAGATGCAGTCCAGCGGAGATCCCTCGGGACGCGGACGTCGGCTGCGGGGGCGGAGTGTGCGCGGGGGCAAGTGCGGGGGGGCCGCGGCCGGGGGGCCAGGGCCCATGCGGGTGTAGCCGGCTGGCGGGGCCCCCGGAGCCGGAGGGCGAGATGGGGGCGGGGGGTCGGCGCTCGAGCCACGGGCGCGGCAACTGTTACTGTGCCGGTGTCGTGGGTGACGATGGAGTGGAGTGCGACGGTGGCGGCGGGAGTGGAAGTGGCAGTGGTGAATGGATATTAAGGGAGGGCCGCGAGGGTGACGCGAGTGCAAGTGCAAGTGCGAGTGGGAGCGGGGCCCGGCTCCGGAGGGTCAAGGCCCACCGGGGCGGCAGCGGGGACGACGTGTCGTGGAGCGCCTGGACCCTCACCTGGCTCTGGATCACCGTCATCCTCCTCTCGACGCCGCTGGTAGCCGTCAACATCAAAGGAGGTAAGCGAACCTTCAATCTTATGTACAATTGTCCATCATCGGGCTTCGAAGGGGAAGTCAAGGGAACCCAGAGGCTGGGAGGACTGAAGTCTAGAGGGCGGTCAGGAAAAGCTCAGAAGGAGGGGTGCAGGAGGCGCTCGATCGGCCGATCGCAATCCAGATGTGACTAGAGTACCTTTATAGACAGAGTATGGCCATTTCTGTGCCGGATATTCATTGGTCGCGAGAAAATAGGCTGACACAATGTTCTTACGGCCGTAAATAAACCAACAAGATGGCTGTTATCAGCAAGCAAGTTAGAGGTTATGCTCATCTTACATCCTCCTGTGGTAAAGGCGAAAGGCGATTTAACAGTGTTTTCGTGTGTCTTCCATGTGTTATTCATAGATATGCTAGTTTAAACTGTTACTGCCGTATAATTGAAATTTTTGTCAAATTTTAGCTTCTTATCAATGTTACGGCGGGTCGCCATCTTGTTTGTTTATTCACGGCCGTAAGACATCATGAAGCCTAAAAACTCGTTGACCAATCAAAAAGCTGCACAGTTTTCGTGCTAACATCTTGTTTATCGATCCTTTCCCATAAGATTAAATGGCAAATCATTCGATACATCGCAAAGCACGCGACGCCACCTATGTTCACGAACCGGAGGTCCGCGATCGGTCATTTTATTGTGAAATGATAAAAGCATTCCCTCCTGAATCTAATCACGCTCACTTTTATCAGCAACCGGTTGGCCGGATCTTTTTTTAGCGCACCGGACCGAACGCGAAGGAAGGAAACGAAAGGTTAGGAAAGTGAAGGAACGGAAAGACGCCGAACAGGAAAACGCGTCGAAATATCGACAGGAGCTTCGATAATGATGGACTCGGATGGGGCTCGTGCAGAAATTTCGGCAACATTCCGTCGCCAAACGCTGTTTAATTTTAATAAGTTGAATTTTTATGATATTGCGAACCATGACCAGGCCGTCTCTTTTCCTCTTGAGCCCCGCCCCCTCTCCTTAATAAAAGGAGGAAAAAACAACAAATAAACTCGGTGGGGGGCGTTCGCCTAACGAGGCCTCAAGCTCATGAGATCCATTTTACGCTCCATCCTTTTCCGCTAGTTAGCAGGTGTGGGCCTGGTCGAGGCCCGCTGAAAGATAGTGAGATGTGATTAGTCGCACGCAGTGTTTCTGGAGCGGACAACCGCGGGAAATCTAAGTAGTTGATCGGTCTCACTGAAACTTAGGGAAACAGGGAACGTTAAGGTCCATTGGAAAAAAAAAAAAACACATTGGATCTAGAGTCCAGACTCTTGAAACCATTGACAAGAAAAAGGACTCTTGATTCAATCAGATTTTTGTTTAAATCAAAAGGAAATCCGCTCAAATTAAGAGGCTTGGTTCTTGATTTAAGCAAAAATCCGATTGAATCAAGAGTATTTTTTCTTGTCGATGTTTTTCAGAGTCTGGACTCAAGATCCAATGTGTTTTTTTTTCCAGTGTCGGATTTTGGTTGGACTTCAATTCTAAGTATTTGCACCGTTGATTCAGGATATTTTTACGATCCGCAGCTGTGCAACCTCTTTGGGTCTTAATTTTGTCTGAGATTAGTATTTTTAGATTGCTGGAGATCGGATCATTTGCGAGCATGTATCGTGACCTTCCGGACGAAGTATCACAAGCGCCATGCGACACATAATAGAACATCGGCATTTCCTTTTTCCAATCTGCTTTTGATCGCTTGTATGTAGGGCCTGCGTATAGATTGTTGAATCGTTATCGAATGAAATCGATCGATAACTCCCTATCTTAACAATGCTATATGTCGATCAAGGTCATTCGATAGCGATTCAACAATCGACCTGCTGGTTACACAACTATAAAATTAACACTAAATTGCGGATGGTTATCAAGAAAATTTAAATTGAAAAGCGAAAACTCAATTTGAAAAAAAAAAAAATTGATTCGCAAAATCCTTTGTTTTTTGTTCTTTAGTGAAAGGACCTCGTTGTATTGAAATTAATGAAGTCAATGTTTAAATGGTAAAGTTTTTGTCATTGCTGATATACTGCCGTACGAAGGAAAAACGCCGTATGAACATTCGAGAGTTGCCAAATTTCTCTCAATAAAACATGTATTTTTGACGACATTCATGCACATTTTTCTTTGAAATTTTCAGAAAGGTATTTTAGATGAAATTGTGTACAAAACTATCTGAAAATGTTGGAAAAAAATCCACAATTTTTCCAGTAAACTCATAGTTTTTATCGAAAGAAACTTGGCAACGTCTGAAGGTTCATACGGCGTTCTTCCTTAGTACGGTAGTATAGGCAGTCACATTCCTCTTAATTATGTAGGTAAACAGTATTTCTTCAACGCCACAAAGTATCTCTCTACTTAAGTAAGTTTTCCTTCTCCGGGTAACATTTTCTCGAAACAGGAAACAGACGGAAAATCCGAAACATCGTAATCCATGATCGTGTTTTTCTAGTTTCATCTCTTACCGTTGAAACGCGAATTAGTTCTCGTTACGTGAAAAATAAAATTGTTTTTCCTCCGCTGAATCTTATCTATTTGTTGATGCGAGTACTTACAATTAGTCAGTTTGTCGCACGTGAAAGAGCGTGGAATTTCGTGTACAGTGTCAGCAGCGATGATAACCTCGCGCTAGTACCGCGCTTTCGTGTCGAATGTGGATTTGATAGCTCATTGTCCGATTGTTTTCACGGATTTATCAATCGAAACGTTAGCAAGAAGCTGGGACGATAAACCGGAGGCTCACTTTTCGGAAGGTCAAGCGATATCCTTTTTCATTCAGTTTTATACTCCGTCTCCCGCTCTCCCCGCCCGTCTCTCGTCTTTGAGCAAAATATTATTCGGCTTATGTAATCTGGGTCACATATTTTCGAGGATAGTAGGTTAACTGCGACGCGCGAGATGTGTGTGTAACTCCGTGTTTGCATCGGTTCTCCGGCGGACCTACACTGAACGACTCTGCCGTGATAGTGAAGAGAGCCGTACTGCCGGGCTAAGGAAGAACACCGTATGAGCCTTCAGACGTTGCCACGTTGCCTCTGATAAAACCCGAATTTACTAGAAAAATTGTGAATATTTCTTTCCCAAAATTTCGGATAATTTTGTGGGCATTTTACTCTAAAATATCTGAAAATTTCGAAGCAAAAGGTGCACGAATGTCGTCAAAAATACAAGTTTTATGTAGGGAAATTTGGCAACTCTCAAATGTTCATACGGCGTTCTCCCTTAGCACGGCAGCGTAAGCGTCAAATTTTCGAAATCGAGTTCCCTCCGAAATTCGTCTAAGTAATGTCTTTTAGATGAAATCACTGAATTAGCCAAAACAGCAAAATTCAGCGTAATTGTATCAAAACGAAATAAGAAGAGAGGGATTCGGTATTTTCGTAGAATGATTAAACTATCGCAGAGTTTTATAATATTTCCGCTTGAACCACTGTCTTTGCCGCCAAAGCAGCAGAAAATAGCTCAGTTAGGTTTGAACCTAAGAATACAACTAAACGTACTCCACGGAGCGATTGTTGCCTACCTTACACGATTGTAGGCGCATCGTTGATTCATTCCCACTTGCGCTCACGATGACCAATTAACTTATTTCCCAATATAAATTGAAAGAATTGATAAAAAAAAAGATAGAAAAGGAGGTGGATACTTTCGTAAATTGATTTAACTACCGCATAGTTTGATCATCTTTTAGCTTGAACCACTGTCTTCGCTTCATAAAACAACCTAGTTAGGTTTGAACCTAAGAATACAACTAAACGTACTCCACGGAGCGATTGTGGCCTACCCTACACGGTTGAAGGCGCATCACACCTCATTCCCTCCTGCGTTCAAGCTGATTACCCTTTTTACCCTTAAGTAAAATTGGTCGATTTTTAATCATTCAAACAATTTTTAAGAGTCCTTCGGATAATTGGTGGGAATTTGACAAAGGACGAAGGCTTTTTTCGATGAAATGTTTCGGTCAAACGCTAGGAAACCCATTTTCTCAAAACTTCATTCAAACGGGCTCAGAAGCTTCTAACGGGAATAATTTATTGAAAGAAGCCTCCTTTTTTTGTCAAACTCCCAACAATTATCTGAAGGACTCTTAGAAACTGTTTGGTGGATGATTAAAAATTGACCAATTTTACTTCAATTATATGAAAAGGGTAATCAGCTTGAACGCGGGAGGGAATGGAAGGTGTGATGCGCCTTCAACCGTGTGAGGTAGGCCACAATCGCTCAGTGGAGAACGTTTAGTTGTATTCTTAGGTTCAAACCTAACTAGGTTGTTTTCTGAAGCGAAGACAGTGGTTCAAGCTAAAAGATGATCAAACTATGCGTTAGTTAAATCAATTTACGAAAGTATCCATCCACCTCCATTATTCATTTTTTTAAATCAGTTCTTTCAAAATTTATTGGGAAATAAGTTAATTGGTCATCGTGAGCACTAGTGGGAATTGAATCGATGATGCGCCTTCAATTGTGTAAGGTAGGCCACAATCGCTCCCTGGAGTACGTTTAGTTGTATTCTTAGGTTCGAACCTAACTGAACTGTTTTCTGGTGCTGTGGCGGCGAAAACAGCGAATCTGCGGTAGTCGAATCAATCTACAAAAATGCCCAATCCCCCTCTTCTTCTTTCGTCGTATCTGAAACTATAGGTATTTTGGGTTGAAATACACGAAATAACGGCCGTTACGGCAGGGTTGCAAAATTTTATGAAATTCAAAATAGTTATTTTTGTAAGTCTCAGACCGTTTTTCCCAGCCAGGCATTGCCTATACGATCGAGAATTCACCCGATTTTCTAGGTTTTCTCTTGTCTTTTCAAGAACTTGTGATTCTGGGAGGTAGTAGGAATGTTATGCTCATCGCTACTTCGCTTTGAATGTCCAAGGCAGGCCGGAAATATATCTTCAGAGTTGCAACGTTTATCTATTTGAGGATGTGGGTTTTGTGGTGTCTTAACTACTCAAGTCCATAAGATATATCCTCC